AGAAATGAAGAGTTGTGCTGCAATTATGTACAATGAACCAAAATGCATTTTGCTGTTATATATACCTAATAAGAATAAATAAATACATTTTAAAAATAAAATAAACGTCAATAAAATCAAGACCTGTGGTGAGGAGGTAAATATTATTTCGTGTTTGAATGTGGCCAACTACAGAGAGTAGAAATAATGTCTCTCACTTATCACTCATCTCTTAGCACCTAAATACAGTAGATACGCAAAAAATACCTGAGTTTAAATTTTTTTATGGAAAAGAAAACTAAGTTGATGGAAGTAAAAAAAAAAAAAAAAAAACGAACAAAACTAGGTCAGGGCCTTTAATTGCTTAGTGATTTGTTTCCAAAGAATACAGTACAGAAGGGGGAGGGTGGGGTCAAACCTGACAAAGATGACAATCATGTGATTAAAGGTATCAATACTTCACCTCTTGGGTCTCCCTCCCTAAAATCCACCACCCCAGTTTCCTGATGGGAAAAATATCATACAAATCTCCGTTAAGGGGCATTCTATAAAATTTCTGACTAAGTCTTAATACTGTTAGTCATCAAAAATGAAAAAAGTTAGTTGTGACAAATGTACCCTAGTAATGTAAGAAGTTAACAATAGGGGAAACTGGGTGAAGTATACTCTGTGTACTGTCTTGCAATTTTCCCATAAATGTAAAACTATTTCTCTTGAGAATAAATGATGATATACATTATTTTATTTGGTGGCAAGACAGTATTCTCATATGATGGAAATAACGGTTATGAATACAATAGACCTAGGTATCACATAAGTCTATAGCATTATGAAATTAGATAGACCAAAACAAATAAATGCCCCTTAAATTCTAGTTTCCCAAAGCATTCTTATTTCTGAACACTTCAATTATGGACTCATAAAAATTAGTTAACTCTGTCACCTCTGCATTTCCCTACATCTTTACTACAGATCATGTTTACCTTAATATCTCCCACTCATCTTATATTCAACTAACTAAACTCACCATCTTCTTGATAATGAACACCTTCCAAACCTCCCTTGCAATTATTCATTTTCCCTTCAATAGTTCTCTTTCCAATTCCCCTCCATTACCAGTTAGTCCTACATATACTGCAGTCAAACAAGCCTTCCTCAAATAAGGATTTTATGCTAGGCATGGTGGCACATGCCTGCCATCCCAGCAACTCACAACTTGTGGGACTGATGAGGTTGATTCCAAGTTCCAGGCCAGGATGGGCAACTAATCAATGCCTTGTCTCAAAATAAAGCTTAAAAATGGTTGGGATGTAGCTCAGTGGTAGAATGTCACTAGGTTCAATCCCAATACCACAAAAGGGGTGGGGTGTTTATGTCATTCTCCAGATGATGATGATGATGATGATGATGATTATTTTGGTACCAAACCATATTTAAACTCCAAAGCAACGTTTTCAAGACCATCCATAGTTATTCTTTTTTACCCTTCACTTGTAAACACAGTTTTTTTTAAGTCCTCACACCCTAAGTTTTATTATTCCTGTATACAGAAAATTATTACATTCTTACTAAGCATATAACATGGAGAAAATAAGTCTCCTTTAAGTAATCAAAGACCTTATAACCCAGCTGGGGTGATAAAATTTAAAATATAACAAGGTATATGAGAATTTATTTTGTTAATACTATATTCTCAGTTCCTTATAACAGGGCCTGGCATATGATAAATCCTCAAAAATATTTATTAAATGAAAACAAAGCAGTATAGAATTCTATATCCCAAAAGAATTACATTCTATCAGAAAAGGGAAAGAATTTTCAGTTAGAGAGATGAATATGGGTCTAAAAGTTCTATGAATCTAAGGTTCAGAGGGCAGTCAAGATTTCAGCCAGGCCTCAAGATTAAGTAGATCTTCAGTAGTCAAGAGGATATATACATGTGGATTTGCAACAGAAAAATGTTACATCAGTTTAATTATAAAGAAGTAAGATTGTTATACCACAATGAGGTAGTGAATAATAAACAGTTTCTGTAGGTTAGTGGGAGAAGACTGGAAACAAAGTTTGAATGGTCTTGAGAAGAAGCCTGATATTCATGCTTGATGTAAGGGGTGTGTTCGTTTGAATGATACAATCTGCAAGATTAATGGGGGTAACATGAAAGTTCTATTTGAGAAAGCAAAAAGCCTTCCCTTATCTACTCAAACCTTCTAAGGTCTTGCTCTCCTTTTAACTCATAACAGCACCTGACTGCATCACACAGTTCTACTTCTAACTATATCTTCTCACAGTGTAAACTTTTTTTTTCCAAGTGTACTAATGTTTTTTAACCTAAGAACAAGGATCAAATCTAGACCTCTTTTTTCTTCCATAAGTAATCAAGAAAGTATAGGGGTCTCAAGACTATTTTTGGAGTACCATTTTTGCATTTATATAAAACCCAGTCACTAACATAACAACAACCAAAAAGCTAAGGAAATTAAGTTGGGTTTGGTAATACCTATTCCCAGCAACTTGGAAGGCTGAGACAAGAGGACTGCAAATTGCCGAGCCTGAAACTGTCTCAAAATAAAAATTTAAAAGGCTGGGGATGTAGCTTAGAGGAAGAGCACTTCTTGGTTCAATCTCCAGTAACCAAGGGCCAGGATAGCCTACCAGCAGAGGGGTACAACATTAAAAAACAGAACAAGTAGTAAGCAATAAGGTGCCAAAAGAATAAGTCCTTTTTGGTTGGTATTTTTTTTTTAAGTTTAATTTTGATAGTCAAATCTCATAAACTACTGATGTAAATTAGTTACCCTACAGCATGATTTCAGGGCTCCCTACTGATCTCATCATCTCATTTACTTTTCTATCTCAACTAAGCACTGGTCTCAGTGGTCAGTATATACATTTATTTTTCAATTGTACTTTCTTTTCTGCACTGACACCTATGGTACCTTTTCAATATTTTTCCCTATTAACATGACTGAGTACAATTGTTAAGCAGCAATTAAAATTCCAATAAATAGTGTTGCTATGACTCTTGACACAATTCTTTTACAGATTTAAATATTTCCTGTGAATTAGCATTTTTTTAGGAAGACTGATTCAAATAAAAACTTGTTACAGAAATAATACAAATCCATCAAAACATTCACAAAATGAAACCCCATGCATTAGTAAGTACTAAGGACTGTACTTAATTCAAAAATTTCCCCAAATCCCCAAAAGTTAACTTCTGACTTTTTTGAAGGGTGGGAGGTACTGGGAATTGGACCTTGGGAGCTACACCCTCAGGTCCCTTTTATTTCTTTTTTATTTTGAGACAGGGTATCACTAAGTTGCTTAGGGCCTTGCTAAATTGCTGGAGGCTAGCTTTGAACTTGCAATCTACCTGCCTGTTTTCCAGGTCACTGGGATTACAGGCATGCGCCACTGTGCCCACCTATCTTCAACTCTTTGACCTTTCGCTTTTATATATTCTAAAAATCAAATTTCATTCCTTGAAATAAAATCTGTTCATGTTAAGGTTCATATTAATATTTTTTTCAAAAGTTTAAGAAACTGCATATACACAAATCAAACTAGTATCTATTTTATCCCTAAAAAAAGTATCTTCGCTGTAATTTTATGCATTTCAGGTCATAATTTATATGTAAAACGAGAAAAATTGAGATTTTTCTAAAACCACACACACACAAAAACCACCCAAATGTGATTATTTCTTTACAAAGTCAGTCATTAAGGGTTTTGAAATTTCTCAGAGTCGGGAATTCCATAATGCACTATTACTTCCCATTACTCTGATACCTAACACTGCTAACATTTTAAAAGATAAATCATCAAAACGACGTCAGACGGCAAAAATGTCAACACACACCTTTTCAGGACTGCAAAAGAAACACTTAAGTCTTAAGAGTCGAATGATACTTATACAGACTTGAACGATTCCTCTTTTTCCTCTTCCCCATCTCAAAATGCACCAAGATAAATCTGTATGTGAAGCTACAGCAGTTTCAAAACCCCTTGGCTACCAGAAAAGCCTCAGCCCCTAGCGCCGCTAGGGCACTCTATAGCACTCAGCCGGCCACGTGGCTGTCACAATCGGAAGGAAGAGAGAAGAAACAGCATCAACTAACCTGAAAATAAATAACCTCACTCCTCCCCGCACATCGGAGTTGAGGTAGAAGGGGAAAAAAGTCTATTATTTCTTTGCACGCTAAGACTTTTTTCCTCGTGAAGGGAAAACGAAGTACTGGGACTGTGTTAATGCGACTTTAAAGCAGAAATCAAGTGCAAGAAGATCCCTAGAATGCGGCTTTCCACGGAACTGGCTACCCTAACTCCCGGGAGCTGCGAAGGGAACAGAGGCGTTTTGCAAGGGGGGAAATGGGGGTGGAGTTAAAGAAGAGGGGAGCACCGAGGGCTGCGCACCTGGACTGCTTTCCCTCAGCTCCCACTTTTCTGGGTTCCAAGCAGGCTGCTACTGCACAGGGGCAAACTCTTAAGGCTGATGGGCCTCTCCCACCACAGATCTCTTACTCTGCCTGGAAAGAGAGGACCAAAGGGCAGAGGCAACCATGGCCCCCAAGGGGGCGGTGAACAGGAAGTGTCCATATTGCAGCGCTAAAACACTAACTCCCCACAAGCCAACAGTTACCCTCGGAGGCGCCCCGGGCTCCCGCTGGAGGAGGAACAAGAGGGTGCCCGGGTCCAACATCCCGACATCCAGGACCCACGCCCGTCCACCCAACGCACCGCAGCCCGAAGTTCGCGCCCGGCCGCCTCCCGGGGCACTACTTGGCGTGGCCCAGCCAGTCCCGCCTGGGCCGCCGAGGACTCCACGCCCCGCACGTCTTGTTCCACTCGGAGCCGGGAAACAGCGTTGCAAAGGCTCCCGAGGGGCTTACGGTACTTCCCCAACAGCAGATCGCCCCGCGGACGAGCCCTCGGCGTCCTCGGAGCTATCCCCCAGCCTGCCGGGAGCCGACACCCGTGCCGCGGTTTCCGCCGCGACACTCCCTCCCGGAGATCATTACCTCTCAGGAAAAACTCCTAACTCCTCACGGGGCCACACTTCCCTCAGTTCGACACCCCTGGGAGCCCACATGCGACCCGAGCCGCGCGCTGGGGACACCCCCGCGCCGGCGCCAATTCTTCACGGGACAAAAATGTCCGGGCGCGTCACGGGACAGCAGCCTCCGCAACCCACGCCCGGCGCCGGCCGCACGCGCTGCCTCCGCGCCCGGGAGCCGCGCCGCTCTGCCCGGGACTCACCGTCAGCTCTGCCGCCGCAGCGGGGAAGCGAGGGATGGGCCGGGAAAGACACAATATGGCAGAGCACCGCAGCTGCTCCCTGTGGCTTCCAGCAGCCGCCTCCGGGAAGACGCGGCAACAAGCAGGCAGCGGCAGCTGCGGTGGCGGCCGCGGCAGCACCACATCCCCCTCCGGCTCGCTTCCTCCCCCTCCTCCCCCCGCCCAACTGCCATGGCAACGCGGCGCCTAGGCAATTGGCCCCGCCCCCTTTTCCGTCCCCGCCTCCCGCGACCCCCACTGAGAGGGTTCGGCCCTTCCCTCTCCGTCCCCTCCCACCTCCTACTGAAGGGACGACTCGGGTGAACAGAGCGCAGGGTGACCAGAATGGCAGGTGGTGTTGGCATGAAATGCCGCGTCCACAAGGGCGGGGCTCGCAGGCAAGGAAGGGCGGAGAGGCTGTGGGCCGGTGCGGAATTCGGGCCGAACCCTGGCTGGGGAAGGCGGGAAAATGGAAAGGTCTCGCCTGTCCCGGGAAGGACCTATAGGAGCGCAGCGGAGGCGCGGCGCGGTTGCTGAGTGGACGAGCGGGCGCGGGGCGGGGCGAGGGTGGCCGCCTGGGCTGGTCGACCCGGGATGCCAGTGCTCTGCTTGCGATGACTGCCCTGTACTGCCCGAGGTTCTGTCATTTCTCCCAAGAGCTTTCCTCCATTGGCCAAGCCTCAAAAGCGCTTTAGGGACTATAAAGCATTGCTATAAATTTAAAGTAGCGTTACCCTCACTTGAGTGAAATTTTGTAGAAACTAAGCTCCGCGAGCTTGTGGTGGGGGAAAAAATGGACTCTGGAACCAGATCCAAAATTAGTAAGAATTGAATTTACTGAGCGCTCACTAAGTGCTACAGACAGCGATAGGAACTTTACATGCATTGTCATAACCTTAACGCAAACTTAACATTCTTCCAGATAAAACAGGAGTATGCAGTTAAAATTGAAATTCAGATAAATATAGCAAAAATTTTAATATAGGAACTTTCCATTTGGGACATACTTTCTGGTGATTTTGGTTTTTATTAAATCTACCAACCCTGTACTAACTCATGAATTCTCACTTTACAGATAAGGAATTAAAGTTTAGAAAAATAGCCCGTCAAATACATAATAAGAAGCAGACCAAAGCCGGGCGTTATTGCGCATAGCTGTAATGGGGGTGGGGAGACGACTGGGGAGGCTCAGGAGGGAGCATGGCAAGTTCAAGGCCACTCTCAGCAATTTAATGAGGCCCTAAGCAATATAGAGAGATCCTGTCTCAAAATTTAAAAAAAAAAAAAAAAAGACTGGTGAGGTAGCTCAGTGATAAAGCACCCCTGGGTTCACCCTCCAGTACCAAAAAAAAAAAAAAGGAAGAAGCAGCAGCAGAACTAAAACTCCATTTACTGCTATCATTATGATTCTGATAATTAAATCTCTGAATTTCTATACCTACAACTTAAAACGCTAGAGTAGTGATAACCTCTCTCACAAAGGTATTGAGTAGATTAAAAGAAAAGGATATGACACCCAGACATCGCCTAAGTAGATGTTCAATAGAGTTCATTTCCTTCCTGAACAATGATGTTAACTAGATATTCACTATGAGCCAGGCTTTGAGTATCAAGTGAGCTGAATATGAAACAAGCTGCCTGCAGAAAATAAAACAGGTCAAGCCTTAGGGATAATGAATATTGAAGAATTATAGGCATCAGGATATACAAAAATAAATGGGAGTATTTGATCCTTTCATTACATAGATGAATACACTTATATGATTTGTCCAAGGTCATCTACTAGTTCTGTGTATTTTCCCTTACACTGTCCTGGAGAGCTTCACAGCTGTGTTCACAGGGAGAGGCTACAAGGCACAGTGCACTTCAATTGGAGCCAGAGTTGCTGCCAATTCTCCCTTCAGAGCAATTGCTGTTGTCCCGTCATATGGACAAAATGATACCAGTTCCTGGAAGAAGAGTATAGAAGAGAGGGAACTGAGGAAAGAAGGAAGGAAAGATTGAGAGAACCCAGCTTCTAAAAGGCCACAAGCTCCTCGTACCTGGTTTGTTTTATCTCTGCTGGTCATTGCCATGGGGGCCACTAACATAATATAGGTCTTCATCTCCTTACAGATGTGTACTAATATATACCTGATATACCTTTCATGAAATGTATATCAGGTATATATTAGTATATATTTCCCTCAACTCGAACTCAAGTGGCTAAGTACTCTTCCTCAACTCTAAAAGAATCACAGAATTTCAGAGCTGAAATACATCATCCAAGATCTCAATCTATTATGGATTAGAAAATAAATCCAGAATTTGTAGAACTCATTAGAGGTCAAATGATGAATCTATTGTACCCTTACTAAATTCTCTCTGTTCATCTTCTTCACTGACTAATCAAACCCAGGGATGCTGGGCACTTTTATTTTATTTTGACTGGGGATTGAACACAGGGGTGCTTATACCAGTGAACTACATTCTCATTCTCTCTAAATTGCTGAATCTCTCCCTAAGTACCTGAGGCTAACCTTGAACTTTCAATCTTCCTTGATCCCTCCTAAATAGCTGGGATTACAGACAGCACCACTGTGCCTGGCTGGTTGCACACATTTAAATACTATCTGTGGGTAAGGCTCAAGTCTCTACACAAATGTGTTACACTCTTAGTTTAAAGTCCAGGGATACTTGTATTCCTAGAGGCTATTTTAGAGGACTTTGAACATCTGTCAAGGAGAACAGCCTATTAAAATTAATGATGATTCAGAGTTAAGTAACTTTCCAGGAGTTTATAAAAATAATAAGGCTAGGAAGACAGAACTTATCTCTTTAGGAAAAAGAGAATCCTGGCATTCAGGATCTCTTGTGAAGCTTTATTCTTCTTTCTCCAAAAGACTTCAAAGAAATATATTCAATGGTAAATATTACTGAAAGACAAATACATTAGAAAATATATTGTTTAAAATTCCCTCATATTTAGGCTGAAAAGTAGTAAGAACTCAAATATGTGTTTATGTCTTCAGTGCATTTATCATTGGTAATGCTACATATATTTAACAAAGACTGTTTTAACTAAAGTGATCATGAATTTTTAGCTCTAAAAATAACCAGTTTATGAATAAGGAATCTAGACTTAAGCCCCATAAGGATAAGGACCACATATTTTTCATCTGAATAGTCTAATTTCATAGGACAACTTCTTGATATAGAGGTGATATGCAATAATACTTGTCAATAAAAGAAATAACTTCCCTCAAATTATATAATACCAGGACAGGGATAAAATGTTCCTAAGTATTAGCCTACCGCTTGTGCTAAAAAGTTAGAATTAAAAATAAGAGTCTAATTTCCCCCTTAGGGATCTTTTTCAATGTACTTCTTAAAAGCAACCACTTATATGTAATAATATCTACATTTCTATAAACCCTGGTATTGACAGTAATTTAGAGCAATCCTCCTGTTGAGAAACAGAAAAAGAAAAGCTCAACAAAAATATTTAAAATGTCAGTTTAAAGGCATTGGAGAGCTAATAACTTAATGAGGAATTATGAGGCCATTCATTACCTGAGGAATGGTGGAGATCCAAGGAAATGTACTTGTCCATTCCAAACAGTTGATGGGAGAATGAACAGGAATGAGGAACAGAGATTAATGTTCAGGGCATGTTATGGGGAAAGAAGAAGAACCCTATAGAATCTACTTTGTTTGGGGCTAGGAATCCAAACAACTACACTCTAAAAGTAAAGGGGCTACAGCTCAGTTTTGGATCTTCTCAACCCTGAATTTAGATAGGGTAATTCCTTTGAGCTAATGCCCAAGCACTTGGCAGAGCAAACTAAACTCCTCCTCTGTGCAATAAAATGCATATTCTAGACTTCAAATAATTTTTTTTTTCTTTTGAGAGCAGCTCTCACTAAATTGCTGAAGTTGGTCTGGAACTTGTGATCCTCCTGTCTAAGCCTCCCAAGTCACTGAGATTACAGGTGTATACCACCAGGCCTGGCTAGTAAACTTCAAATAATTTCTACAATTTTGCAAATACAATGTCTATTACACAATTTAAAAAATCAGTCATGCAAGAAAATAAAAATAACAGAGCCTGCGTGGTGGTGTACACCTGTAATCTCAGCAACATTGGAAGCTGAGGCTGGAGGATTGAGGCCAGCTAGGGCAATTTAGTGAGACCCTTTTCAAAATTAAAAAAGGGTTAGGGATAAAGCACCCCTGGGTTCAATTCCCAATACATGGGGTGGGAGGAGAAAGAATGAGAGAGAAAGGAAGGAGAAATAGCAGAGAACAAGAATAGACACTAAAAGTGATTCAGATAGTGAAATTATCATGCCTAGATTTTGTTTTGTTTCGGTTTGGTACCAGGGGTTGAGCCCAGGGCATTTAACCACTGAGCAACATCCTCAACACCTTTTATTTTTTATTTTGAGACAGGATCTTGCTAAGTTGCTTAGGGCCTCTCTAAATTGCTGAGGCCAGTTTTGAACTTGTGATCCTCCTGCATCAGCCTACTGAGCTGCTGGGATTATAGGCATGCCCTACCATGCCCTGCTCATGCCCAGATTTTAAAATGACAAGGCTCACTATGTTCAAATAAGTAAAACACAAGATTAAACATTTAGTCAAACAAATAGAAATCTGAAAAAAAAAATCACTAACTGAAAATAAGGACTCAATAATATGTATAACAGCATATTAGGCACAGATAAAGACAGAATTAGTGAACTAAAAGATAAGTCAAAAGAAAACATTCAGAATGAAGCACAAAAAGGGAAAAGGATAGAAAATACAGAACACAGGGAAAATATATAGAAGATATAGTGAGAAAATTTAAGGTGCGTGCAAATAAGTAGAGTTCCAGAAGTGAAGAATATTTGCACCAGTGAATCCCCAGAAGGATAATTTTTTTTATTCCATACA